AGCAACAGCAGGGCTTTAACACAAACATCCATAAAAGTCTTATCTCTGCACATTTCTGTTTTTTTTTTTTTCATTTTTTGACAGATAAATTTCGGCTTTGGGTGCTATGAGATTTTTTTTGCTTTTTGGCTTTCATAAATTTGTTTTTAATTTATTGTTTTAATATCATTGTTAAGCAGACGTCATCGAGCCCCCCCTCATAAAGACCACTTGACGTTCGTGCTCTTTCTCGGCTAGTTTTTTGTTTTGTTTTGTTTGTTTTTCTTTCTTCATTCATCCAATTCATACGTCCGTTTATTCACATTGCGCCACCGCCAAAAAACTGTAAGTCAACATTTGCGCATGCTCACTCGTTTGGCCCTAAATAGCCAAAAAAAAGAAACAACAACAACGCCAACAACAATAACGGAAAAAAGTCGGCACACAACAGTTTATTCATTGACCTACTATCCAAAAAACTTTAAATTTACCTATAAAAGTGTGTGAGTGTGTTTGTGTGTCTGCGCCTCTCCGAGTGACTGACTGACTGGCTGGCTGTGTGGATATGATGTAACCGGCTTAACCGCAAAAGTATACATAACAGTTTTTTCTGCTGCCGTTGCTGATGTTGTTGTTAGTGTGTTTTTTTTTACACACATAAACAAATTTCAAGTCCAAGCAAATATCCATTTTATTCCGTTCATTTTTATTATTTATTTAGTTTTTGATTTGTTTCTTTCTTTTTTAAATGCGAATTTTTGTTGTTGTTGGGTTTTTTGATAGCCCACAATGAAGGTGGATGGATGGATATTTGTTATCTGCAATAAATAAACCGTTGTTTTCTGAAGGGTACCGCAGCTGCTGCCGCGGCTGCACCATGAATGAATGTTAATCGTACACTCGAAATGAAAATACCGTTAATGAGGGCGGTATATTTTTCTTCTTCTTCTCCCTTTGAACTTCCGTTTGTGAAACGCATCATAAAATTTACATAAAAATGCAACATCAAATTCTAAGGTCAAGAAAATGTTTTGTTTTTACAATCGTTTCATAAAAGGGATTGGGCAATTTTCAAAATATTTAATTTATTGAATATTATATTTTATATGTGAAATGATTTATGTATATAATGTGGTGTGAGATATTTAGAGCACGGAAAATTAGTTTAGGAAGTTTCGCAAAAATTTATTAGCCTAAATTACAAAAACTAAATTTTTGTAATATTTCAAAATTAAATTAATGGTATCCACAGTAATTTAAAAATTCCCAATATTGGGTTAAATTTTTTATTTATAAAAAATACCATTTTTTATTTATTTTTATAAAACTACTTTTAGTAGTAAATTAAAAAAAAACACATCCCAACAAACAAATGTCAAAATGAAACAAATGTTTGCAATAATAAAACATTTGTTTCAAAAATATATAATTTTATTTATTTATTTAATTTGTTTTTTTATATTTTAAATATCAATTATTTAATTAATTTTAAAGTATCGCATGAACTTTATTACTTCATTCCAATACAACTCTTTCAAATCGCATCAAATACATACAATTCAAAATCCACTATCACAAAAAATATTTTGTAATCATTTTGTGGGTTGTAACAAATTTCCAAAAAAAATCATTTCAATTGAAATTTTTCTTTCAATATTTTATTTATTTATTATTATATCTATTGTAATTTTTTATTAATTACGCATTAATAATTGCAAATTTTGCTCATACACACACACAACATGTGTGGCATATTTTTGTGTATTTTTGGTGTTCGATGTCTTTTTAAGGTTATTTGTTTACAAACTATTTCAAGGGTACAATAACCATTGTTATTATTTTTTGTTATTATTTTATTTGGACAAACTAACAAAACGAAAACATTTCTTAGTAATTATGACTAACACGTGACAGTATTTACTTGCAAATGTTGTTGCAATCATAAATTTTGCAAAAACAAAATTATGGTTCAACATACCAAAAAAAATTCATTGGTATTTTGGCTTACAATGAAAACATAATAGGAATAAACAACAAATACAGTAAATGTTGGCTATCTGTAATGCAGTGTTTAAGTTTACATAAAACAAATTTTATTATCCACCTAAGGTGCTACAAATGGTGGTGTGGTCGGCGACAATTGACTATACGGAAGAAGAATTTTTTTACAAACATTTAACTTTAATTCATGTTTGTTACACATAGCCACTCAAAACTGTATTGTGAAATTTAATTGAAACTAAATTACATGTTGCTGCTTTGTGTTATACAAATAACAAATAAAACACACACACACACGCAAATTAAAACGTGTATGGCATACATAAAACAACAACAGCGACATAGACTGTTTGTAACAATAAAAAGACGGCAACAACAAGCGTGTGGATGATTAACAAATTTGTGTGTTTTGCTCCGAGTCAAATCGATCAATTGTCCAAAACAAAAAGTGTCAAGTGGTTGTTAAAGTAAAAGGTGTTGGTGTTGGAAATTGGGCAATTTCCATTTCAGACTGGTTACACATTCCCACTACACGCTTTACCTTTTTTTGGGGAATTCACCGGAAAGAAATGTTAGTCACTCGCAAAAGAGTGTCGATGTGTTGGTTGGTCTCAGTCTCCATTTGATATTTACACTAAGTAAGGAAACTATTTTTTGTTGTTGTTGATATATGCAGTTGCTGCAATTGACCAAATTTTGCATAGAAACCCCAACAACATCAAAAACACCCAGCCAGCCAACAAGTCAAATGAATGCAATAAACCAACGGGCGTTAGCGCCGCAACAACAACAACAACTATGCCTGCAATGAGAATTAAGTAGCACAAGCACTGCCACCAACCACCCCCATCATCGCCGTCAACAACATCAAAACAATTCAAATGGGTAAAATTTTAGCAGCCACACTACCAACAGCAACAACAACAACATCGTGCAATAATGCAAGCATAAATTGTAAACGATTTTACACTGCGCGCACACACACACATACACCGTAATACCGACAACGACAGCGAGCCTTGACCTGATTTCTCTTCCTCTCTCGCGGCCAATTGTTTGTTATTTAAAATGTATGCACACACACACGTACATACAAACATGCACGGATAATAGTTGTTGGGGGATCGTTTTTGGTCGCAGTGACAGGGAGGCTCGTTATAAACAGCCAACCAACCAGCCAATTTTGTGTACACACACATACACTTAAATATCAATATGCACTATCTTGTTGCAATCACACTGGCATCCTCTGTGCAATGCACCAACCATTAAGACTTCCTTTAATGTTTTGCAAACGAATAGGGCTGTTGTGGGGAGACCGAGAGTGAGAGAGAAAAGGGATTTTGCTAGCTGGTATAAAGTTAAGAGAGTAAATGTTAAGTTTGCCATAGGCCTGTAAGTTAAATGGCTGTTGAAGAGTAATTGGTATTGGTAGTTTGTTCTTTGAAAGAAAGAAAATATAGCATGCCGATGTATGCACACATTTCGTACGGAACGATAAGAGCAATGCAATATCGCATATCTTCGTTGTTGAAGTATAAATGTGATAAGTCCAGATTTCATAATCATAAAGTAAATAAAAAGTATATCATAAAAATTTAAATTCGTATTTATTGTCTATATATAGTGTAAGGAAAATCATTTCCATCATTTTTTTAGCATAAATATATTAAATACTTTTTAAAGAAGAAAAGTAAAGAAGAAGTCATAAATTTAATAGTTAATAAAATTAATTTTTAAATTAAATAAAAACACAATATGTTGAATAAAATTCTTAAGGAACAAAATGTAATTCAAATTCAAAATATCATTTTTTATTTTAATTATTATGAAAAATCGAAATTACATTTATGTTGAACAAAAATGTATGGACTTAACACTTTTCCTTTTCAAAATGTGGCATTATATGCAATCTCTTGGCGGTAATATCAGTTTTTTTTTGGTTTGGTTTGCTGATGAGTTGTTTGGCTGGTTGCTCGATTGGGCCAACCACATAGCTTGTTTCTTTTTTCTCTACAGCCTGCTAGTCATCTGCCAGAAAGAAATCAGTGAAAATGCACTTTTACTTTTACCCAAACGCCATACAATTTTCCCTTTGCGTTGCATCTTGTCACGCTGCAAGCCAAGCTGGCGTTGCATGCACTGGTGAAAAGCAAAAGTATTTTGTTGTTGTTATTGTTGCATCAAATGGCAAGCAAATGCAAAACAAAACAGACTTTTAACATAAAACCACAATAGAAATTCTCCAAGTGAAATGAAATTGAAATTAGTCATTTCGGATTGGAAGTGAGTTTTTGTAATTGTTATTGTGAAAAACCACAAAAATATATATGAAGGAGTTATGGTCTATTGAGGGCAAAAATCTACAAAAGAAACATATTTTATATGGATTTAAAAATATATTTTGGAAATCTAAAAATATAACACGGCACTTACATTAGAACTTTTTACCAGGTTAACGTAATGGAATTGACAATTAAAACCCACTGGGTTAACGAAATCCGGTACAATGTAAACGTACTTTAAATTCACAAAATGAATAAGATATTAATGTTTATAAAAACAGAAATGATAAATTTGAATATTTTTTAACATATTGTATTTTTAATTAATAAATTTGTTAAATCTAATATCATATATATATATATATATATTAGTCTCATATGTTAGGAAACATTTTATTTTTTTTATAAAATTTTAAATATATTATAACAAAATATTATTTTGTAAATCTATTAAATTGTATATTTTTTATATCAAAAGATCATTATAAATAAATTATATATTTATCATAAAAACAAAAACTAAATAAAAACAACCTTCGAATTTTTATGAAACAAATACATTTATTTTGATTTTCTTATAAAGAATTCAATAACTTTATATAATATTTTCTTAAAAAAAATATAATTTATACTTTTAAATATACAAGATTTTTTATTTTATATTTACCAATAATTTTTACATTTATTGTTATTAAGCCATAATTAACCCACACATTGTTCTTGTTGTTTTTCCAGATACTGAAATTCCTATTATCAAACAATCAACAAGTCCGGGACCTCATCTACATAACCTGCCACCATCACACCATGCGCAACAAGCTGCGCATCAGCAACAACAGCAACACTCACACCCGCATCCACACCAACAGACAACACAACATCAACAGCAACAACAGCCGCCATTGACGCCACAACATCCAAATGGAAATCAAACAGCGTTCACAGGAACAGGATCTGTTCTAAATATTAAAACGGAGCAAAATGTTCTAACCTCACCCAATCAACACCAACAACAGCAGCAGCAACAACAACAGCCACATGGAGGAGGCATTAATCTGCAGCAACAACACAACAGCCTAACAGGACCCTCAAGCAACAATAGTCTACAGTCATTGAATATACCACACCGGCCATTGTTGCACAATTTGTTAAGTGGTGGCTCGCTGCACAGCTCACATCACAGAAGTTATGGTGCAGGGACCACAGGTAAAGAGGAGTACATGTTTGCGATATATGTTTTGCTTAATTTCATTTCTATTGAATTGTTATGGGATACAGGAAATTAATTGTGTGTTTTCATTTATTTTTCTATTTGCTTTTCGTTTAAAGGCTCATTTCCTCCCAGTCCGGCCGATAGTGGTGTATCGGATGTGGATAGTTCCAGCTCGGGAGGCCAACCATGCAGCGATGAACTTAAGGCCCGTTTGGGTCTACCTCCCCACTGTTCAACGCATCCTTCTCATCTGGCGAATGGTACATTTCTGCATCCGAATCTATATCAGAATTCTCAAATCAGGAATATCTGGAATCGTGGAAGTAAGTTGAAATCAAAGCAATGACTTTTTCTCATTAGAAATAAAATGCCTAAAAATGCACAAAACACATAGACAGAAATTATGAAAACTGTAGTCGAGCCTCCCTTTTGTGCATGTTTAATATTCGTCACAGATTATATTGAATTCCTTTTCAAATATCTCAACCGGAGCATTTTCATTTGCCAATTATATCCGGAACAGAGTTTAGGAATACATTATACTACTGAAACCCCTTTTATTAATTCACTACTTTAAAATACGTCAGTTAAAATTTTGACAGAAAATTAAATGTTATTTTTAGAAATAGAGAGGGGTACAATAGTAAATAAACTAGCTCTTACTTTGACTCACCGAAATTCAATTCAACTATTTTTTTATCACAATTTAAGACAATTATAATGATCGTTAATAAATATGTAGATAGGGAGCATAGGTATCTGCGCTTGGAATGTTTGATTCAAATGACAGCAACAACAACAACAATCGACTATAATAACTATCAAACAAGATTTAAATTTAAAAATAAAAATAAATAAATTCTATTTATACGAGGATGTATAATAACATCTTTTTCCCAAATTTCCCCCTTCTTGTTGTTTGATTTTCTTTGCTATTCTTCATAATCATCAAACACATCATACCAACATACATACATGCATATGTATGTACATATGTATGTTTATCCGACAATGTACGTTCGTTTGAATATGTGCACGCTAAACAACGAACAACGACGACTCTATTGCTGCTGTTGCTGCATCAACACTCAACGTTTTGCTGCCACTGTTGTTTGTGTGCGCTTTTTTGTTTTCATTTCGTTTTTTTTTCTTCTTCTTTAATTTCAAATAAACATACATATGTACATTGAATTGTTGTTGTATGTACGTCGGATGTTTATATGTATGAACGTATGAATCTGTGGTCATCGACACATTGCCTTTGCACAAATTCTGAAGGTCACAACCACATGCAACTCTCTTCATTTAATACGAGCGCAATAACGACACGACAATATGACTCTCCGAGTGTGTGTACGAATGTTAAACGACAGCAGCAGTAGCAGCATATCAATACTGTTATGAATAAAACACCAACAACAGCAATACAGCGACAGAGTAAAAGTAAACCACAGAGTAAGAGAATGAGAGTAGTTGTAGAAATGGTGAGATTGCAAGGCAATGCATTTGTTGTTATACGGGTATTTGGATGTTTGTGGTGGGGGAGATAGGGAGCCTAAATATTGTTCTCCCACAGCTCTCACACTCAACGTTTCATGTTGGGTAAGGTTTTTTTAGTAATGAACTGGTTAGTTGCTCCCATAACATACACTACCATAAAATAGTCATGCCTTCCCCATGTATGTATGGATAGTTGGGGGCTAAAGTTGGTTTATTCCAGATTATTATAGAGTTTGTTAATTATAGAAAAAAACAGGCAAACTGAATACTCATAATCTCTTACTCTCTTTTTGGACCCTCTATTCCCCTTTTAATTGCAAAATATACGTATAGCTGAAATGGTTGTGCATTCTGGTTTAAAGAGCAGGAGGGTATTCCACAACACAAAACATGTTTGTGTGTGGTGCTTACGTCCTCATTATTATCGCTGAATTTGTTGATGTTGTTGCATTTGTTGTTGTTGTTCTTGTTGTGCACGAGAATTGCAAAAACACTTTTATTTTTATTGCAGTATATTTTGTAACATTCCTCGTTAATTTTGACGCCGGATGTAAACCAACAAAACAAGAAATCAACGTACATACATATTAACATGTGTTTGTATGTACAATCTGATATCTACACACAAATATAGAAGTGTATGAGGCAAAACAAACAGCAATTGGTTTTTTGGTAAGCCATACATATGTACATCCATCTATCCAGCTAGCAAGTCAGTCAGTCATTTAATGCATTGGATGTCGCCGCCACATTCGTGGTTGTAAGCAACAGTCAGCGCCAATTGTTATACTTCTTATTCGGCGTGAACAGGGAATGCATGTCATGCTTATTTCTTGTTCATTTCAGTTGTTAATTAGTATTCTTCTTCGTGTGAATGTGGGTGGGGGTGTTGAGGAGGGGGGTAGATTTGCAAAAAAGTAAAATATTTACTTTGTGACAAACAAAAAAGGACGTATTTGTCATTAATGTTGTTTATATGAAAAACAAAGAACCACTTGACTGTGTCAAATGACATGATTTGAAAGACCGGGGAGAGTTTATCTGTATTTAAATAAAAGTGAACATTATTTCTCCCAATCACAAATAAATTGGGTAATTTTTTTAAACTTATTACAAACGTTTTTTATTTCGATGCTATTTCGATTCCCAGACATTCTTCTTAGAAAGTAATCTATTAAAACATATGTTTTATCAACATATCGATATATTAATTGACATACATAATACACGCATTTTACATATTGTCATAAGTATTTTTAATAAGTAACCCAGAAATCTCAGCTAATTTGTAACGAGTGATACATATGGGAGATATATGATCGATCGCTCACTCAAAACGGATCGTCTACCATTAAATAATAATGCCTCTTTCTCTCTTTTGTATGCCGTATGATTAATATATCACTCCGAATTATTACTCATACGTTAAACTGTTGTCAAACATTATCCACTCTTGACATTTTCACAACAATAAAACGTGTCTTATGTTGTTCACCACCGTACTAGTTCAACTGCACGATTCACTGAATAAAATACAACGGAACTAGTTAATATCAACAAATCACTGAAAAAAAAACACAACGGAAATTATTTCGCTAATATTATATTTTAAAATTGAAAAAAAAATATTTTAAGTAATTTAGCTTTTAGTTGATTTTACATTTGTTTATACGAGCTGATTTCTTGATACTTTGATCTGAGAGATTTAAATCACTTTAACTCTTTGTACAACGATATTAAATATTTTTTTTTTCGAAAAATTGAAAAAAAAAAATATTCACAAATTTCTTTGTTTCTTTTTTTACAGTGGCTGAGAACTACTATTTACCCTTGGCCGGTAATGGTGCAGGAGGTGGTGGCGGAGGCGGCGGCGGTGTTAATTCATCCAACAACGGCCCAGTGGTTAACAACAACCTAACCTGCAGCTCAACAGCGCCCAATGGTTCGTACGGTGCGCCGCCCTACTTTACAACTCCCTCTCCGCCTCGTGCCGCCGTCGGTTTGGCTTCGCATCATTCCCTACATCCACATCAGCAACATGCTTTGCACACACACCAACAGCATTCCTCCGTCTCTAATCCCACAGTTGGTTCGACCAGCAACGGTGTCCTTACCTCCAATGGTGTCCTTTCTCACCAGCAAAGCGTTATACAACCGGCCACATCGAGTGTTAATTATGATCTCTCTTATATGCTGGAACTGGGTGGCTTCCAACAGCGTAAAGTGAAAAAGCCACGCAAACCCAAAATTGAAATGGGCGTCAAGCGACGCAGTCGTGAAGGATCCACCACATATCTGTGGGAATTTCTACTCAAACTGTTACAAGATCGTGAATATTGTCCGCGTTTTATTAAGTGGACCAACCGTGAGAAGGGTGTCTTCAAACTGGTCGACTCCAAGGCGGTGTCACGCCTCTGGGGCATGCATAAGAATAAGCCCGACATGAATTATGAGACAATGGGTCGGGCATTACGTTACTATTATCAAAGAGGCATATTGGCCAAGGTTGATGGCCAACGTTTGGTCTATCAGTTTGTTGATGTTCCCAAGGACATTGTGGAGATCGATTGTAATGGTGTTTAAATAGGCATAGCAATAGCATAACCATAATTATCCCCAGGAGAGAAAGCAAGCCAAAATATATAACAAAATACGAGAGATACAAATTTTAACTGTTTCGAAATTGGTTAACCTACCATGGCCCTTTATTAGCGACTACAATAAAAGAATATTTTGGATATTGGCTGGCCCCACACAACGATCCCCAAATTGGTAGGTGTCTATTAAAAGTGATATTCATTTTTTGTTTGTATTGTTTGAGTTATTTTTGAAAGTATCAACAAAATTAACAAATTTTAATTGGAAAATATTGAAAAATCCAGCAAAAATCTTATTTTTATTTATTGTGTGATTTTTAAATGTTTACTTATAGATTTTACCATAAAAAATAAGGCGGTTTGGGTTCACTTTTTTAATGCCCTGGAAGATGATGCATTTTCATTTGGGATATACTTGCGCTCTCACTGTCATGTCATTGGAGGGGAAGTGAAATTATTATCCCATATGCAGAGATTCAACTCAATGCAACATGCCCACTGATGCTAATGGAAAGGTGTAAAGATCGTACAAGGATCACAACAACAAAAACAAAGTAGTGTTTTGGATTTTGGCCAAAACACAACCATTGACCAAAACAAAGAAGCAGCAGCACAACTAGTAAGACCCTCACGTCCAACATTACAACACAACAAACAAACAAAAACGGAGAATAAACACACAAAAGGACAGTAGCTTTCTAAGTTCCAAAATCCTTGTTAAAGCCTAGCTTAAGATTTTGTTAGCTAAACACAGAAATCTATGTAGAACAACAAACCAAATGTCTTTTTCAAATTACAAAAAAAAACAACAACAACAAACGTGTTATAACTTTCAAAAAGTTAATTGTAATTTGAAATTATGTTGGTGTTTTCATTTTCTCCAAACCATTCAAGGAACCGTGCAATGCTTACTCAAAGTGAAGATACAAGTTTAAGAGGAGTCAGAACTCCTTCTCCTCTTTGGAACATCATTTGTAATATTAATTATCAGCAATGATATAATTGTAAATTAATTGATTTATATATTAAATTTAAAGAAACAACAACAAAACAAACAAAAAATACACATAAGATGTAATTAGTTTCGTAAGGGATATGTTGGATATAGTGTTGTAATATTACAGTACAGTTTTTTATTATTATTATTACTATGAATTAATTATTGATATAATTGTTAATAATGTTTAAGATTTATTAATATTATTATTAATAGCATAAATATTCTATTCTAATTATAGTTGTTTAGCATAATTTCAAACATGTGTATTTTATATATATTTTTGCATTATTTTTAATTTTATTATTATTAATATTATTATGTTTCATTGAGTGTAAAAAAAAAACAAACATAAAATGTACGTTAAAAAAACAAATGAAAAAAATCCAATTGTATCATAATTTTTGTTTTTGTTGCTTATTTTTATTTAAAACAAAGAAAAAAAACACAATTGTCAAAATGTTAATTTTTTTGTATGTATATCACTAATTAATTGAATTTATGTGTTTTATTATAAAAAAAAAAAACAAAATTAAATGAAACTCATTTCCAAAAAAATGCAATAATAATTAACAACTTTAGTCCATAGTCCACTGAAAAAAAAAACACACAAAAACAATTAGAGGAATATTGTTATTTACACTCCTGTGTTATTTAACAAATTAAGAATTTTTGTTCGCCACAAAAAAAAACGGTTTTCAAAAACAAGTCTTCCAAGTTAATTACAAAACACACACCCTTACATACTTACACTTCCATAAACAAGTGATTTTATAAAATTTGTTTTTGGTTTTCTTTTCTTTAATTCTCATGACTTTAAAAGTCAGTAATGATCTCCACATACATAGTTTAGATGTGATAGAAAAATCCAAATATTAATGAACACTTTATATTATAAATACATATGTGGTCAAAGTATGAAACAGCTGGGATAGGGATGCATAGGTCGAGTTAAATAAATATCAATTTGATTTTTCCCAAATCAATCAATAAACAGCAAAAAATAACTTTATTTCAAAATCATTTTTGAAAACATTCTGTGGCATGTTATTAAAACGTTTGGCCACCCATTTTTGAACATTAGATTTTTACTTGACAGTTTTTATACTTGATTGAAAATATGTCAAATTTTCAACATTCACACAAATGTTATTCCAAATTTATTATTTTTATTTCATTAAAATTGTCAAATTTTTACAGGGTCAGGACTATCCCAGTTGTAATAAAAATTCTTATTTGTTAAATAACCTATTGGAGAGCCAAGATAATTTATTCTCTTTTTGTTATCAACTTATGACAATATACTGAAAATAATTTCTATATATTTAACCTTTTTGGCAATACTAAATTTAACTTTGCAACAACTGTGCAGAAAAATCCACCATTTTGTGTTTCCAAAAAACAAAAATTGTTTATTTTCTAACAAATAACTAGGTGTATCTACATGGCAATTTACGTTAAATATATCATGATCGAGTGTTTAACTCCAACAATTAATTATTCAAGATCATTATCGGAAAATATCCATGTATGAACATTAACATTTATATAAAAAACAATAGACTTCTGTTGGGAATTTTTGTTCTTTTACGCAAAATTCTATTAACCACTAAAACAAACACTGCCCATAGAATATCCACAACAAAGTACTTGTTTTTTGGACTTTAATTTTTTCGAATATACAAACAAATATTTTCCATTGTTCCCTATTTTTTCAATATGTATCTGTACACTATATGCAATAATATTTGTAAATGTTTTTTTTTAATAGTAAATTGTTTTTTAATTTTTATTTAATATAACATAATATATATAATAACAAGTTTTTGTACATTTATCCCTTTGCTAGCTTTCTAAGAATAAAATAGCCCCATTGACTGTTTATTCCGAAATTAGCAAGGGAACAAGAGAAACAACTGCCCTACACTGCCTATAATTTACACTCGATTCAATACAAAGCATACAACCTATAAACAATGTAAAGTGCAATCTGTTAAGAATTAATAAGTTTTGTTTTAATGTTTTATTTTCGTTTCTCTATATATTTCGTTTTAAGTCTACTATTATATTTCTCATAAAGAAAATAAATTAAAAATAATAAAATTGTTTTGTTATTCAAAATTTAAAATTTTTTGTTTATATTTTTTTTTTATTGTGATTCATACGTCTTTGGTTATGTATTTTGCTTTTACTTTTTATTTTCTTCTTTATTATTATTATTTTTCATTTATATTATATATTTAACAAATATTGAAAAACAGAAAATGTTTATATATTTTTAATTGTGTAATAAAAAACAACAAACGTACTTTATATTATTTAAAAATAAAATTATTTTTATTTTACAAAATTTGCAATTATTTGTTTTGTTTATTTTTGATATTTTACAGACGTAGTTTGGAATTTTTACATATTCGGATATACACAAAAGTTAATTTGTTTATTAAAAGAATCCCAAACATAATGCAGTGCTAATTTTGTTAAGGGAATATGTTTTGACAAAACTTATACTATGTTTACATTGTATCGGATTTCGTTAACCCAATGGGTTTAAATTGTCAATTCCATTGTCATATGTCAACTAAATCCTCATAATATAGGTTAACCCGATAAAATGTTCTAATGCAAATGCTATTTTAGTTCTGTTCCAGAACATGATTTTATAAGTTTTTCAATGTTTTCATAAACATTTTTCTCCAGAAACTTGAAATGAAAATGCATGTGTAAAGAATACATTCATTGTAATATTTTCTCCAAATTTAATATCAATTTCGAAGGTGAGGAATATCGATATTTTATATATCCCTGAACTTTCACATAATGCTAATTTTCTCTTATAAAATATATGTTTACATATGTATATGTTTATATGTAATAAAATTGTATAATCCCCACAAACCATTTTTGCAAAATTTGCAAAAAAAATCGGTTAAGTAGTCGCTCAGTTATTTACATTAGAATCGATGTTTAAAAAACGGACTACTTACAGACTGTGTTTGGCCTAAAAGTATGCAATATTTTTCTTTACAAACAAACCATCAGCCAGCCATTGTGAAAGAAAAATTTTCGGTTTTTAAAACATCCATTTTTGTGTGGTTTTTTTATTTACATGTAATAGGCGCCCAGCACGGAATAGTAAGTATGTTTCGGAACACCGTTGAATTCAAATGCAAATAATTCAGCAACTACTTAACCGATTTTCATAAAATTTGCACAAATGGTTGAAAGAAATTCTAAAGTTTAATCTATATTAACAATACATATATAAACTTGCGATATATAAGAGAAAATTAGAATTATGTGAATGCTCAAATATATTTTAAATATCGAATATTTTTTTTTTTTTTTAAATTTAAACAAAGCATACACTATCTAAACCTAATTTTTCGACGAGACACATTTTAGCCGTAGGAATGTAACCCCATTAGGCATAAGGAATGAGGGTATAATTAATATTCAAATTAATGAATATTTGTTCTTTCTTTACATGTTATATACATCATTTACATTTTTCTATGGTCAGAACTTATTTTATCGTATAAATTCAAACATTATTGATTGTAAATATATAATTATACTTTGTATATATTTTATTTATTTATAATATATATATTATAATATATATATATATATATATGTTTACATGATTATCCTAATTTCCAACTACATACATATGTTTTTCGCTCTACATGTAATACATATAATACTTAAATAACATTTACAAATCAGTCCTAAAATCTATTTCCTCTAGATATTGTTATTGATTCATTGATATTTAATTTGAAATATAAGTATATGGCAAAACGACAACATTATAAATAATATTTATAAAGTTTTTATTAACGTAGCTAAATAAATTCTTTAGAACAAATGATTAAACATTGATTGAAAAAGGCAAGGTACACAGCAAATAATGTAGCTAAGTCTAAGACAGTAACTTTGCATTTATTCTAATAATTCACACGTCATTAGAGAATATGAAAAATACA